TGATCCTAATTTGCGTCCTGGCTGGAGCGGAGGGTGGAAGGTACACGCCGCACCCCTGCCGGGGCGGGGCGGGGGGTGGTGGTGGTAGAATTAAGCCTGGCCATCCAGCAGCCAAACCTTTGTTCGGCCCTGCCCTTCCCCTTCCAGGCCTGCCCCTTTGTGGCTTTCACACCGACAGGGCTCTGGCACGGAGCCTCAATCTGGAGACCTCCTTTCCCTGTGAAGCTCGGTGGAGGGGTTTGGCTCCAAAGCCTTGCCTCTTGAAAAAAAAAAAAAAAATCCCACGTATTATTTTTTCCCGCATTGCCTCATGAATGGTCAAGGGAGTATGAGATTCTTTTTTTCCTCAGGCTTTTGGCCAAACCACAGACTCTCAAATACAGCCTTTACAAGGATGCTTTGGGCATTTCTCCCCCTTTAACTCTGTATATAAATTGTACTATAAAATACATTTACAGAGAGATCGACAAAGTTTTCCAAAGTTTGGGGATGATGGCATCACAAAGTTAAATTCAGTTTACGGGTGTAGGGGTTGGGGAGACATCGTGGGGGCAAACCCCACAGCAGCAGCTCCCTGAATCTGAACCTGCAGGGCTGGTTTCCCAGCCCCGTGACCACTGTCTGCTGAGGGCGCCGCCATGCCCCGAGGACTATGGGAAGGTGCAAAAGGCCTGAGCTCAGGTCTTAATTCTTGGTCACAGACGCCGGTCCGGGGTTCTCTCACAATGTGCAGGTGTGGGGCAGAGAAGGACAGCAGGCGCAATTAAACTGGCTGAAGACACGAAGGTTCCCCACTTCCCACTTTGCTCTACACCCAACAGCAGGTGGACACACATAAACCGCCCCCCCCACCGCCAGGGAGTATAATCCGAGGCTCCCCAGAACCACTCTGCTTCTCTTGACCTGCTGTGTTATTGTGATTTATAATAATATATAGTTGGTGGGTGGTTCAGTCAATTAAGCATCTGCCCTTGGCTCTGGTCATGATCTCAGGGTCCTGGGATTGAGCCTCACATCAGGCTCCTTGCTCAGCGGGCAGTCTGCTTCTCTCTCCCTTTGCCCCTTCTCCCCAGCTTGTGCTCTGTCTCAAAAAAATGGAATCTTTAAAAGAAAAAAAAAAAAAAAGAAGAGAAAAGAAAAGAAAAAAGAAAATAACAGTTGGTCTTGGTCCCTGTTCCTGTACAAGCTCCTAAAACCCTTTTGGAATTTCTAAGTCCTGAGAGCAGGCAAGGTGTCTTTTGTTATGCTAATGAGGCAAGTCTCCAGGTTGCCAGAAGAAACAACCCTGTGATTAGAGGTTTGGAACTTTCTGCCTCCTCCAGACCTCCAGGGAGAGGAGCGGGGACAGAGATTGAATTCTATGGCCAATTGCCACTGATGTAATCAATCGTCCCACGACTGGTCTCCATAAAATCAGGCTTCGAGAGCCCTTCCAGGTTGGGGAACACACTGGAGATTTGGGGAGACCGGTGTGTTTAGAGAGGCACGGAAGCTCTGGACCCTCTCCTCAGACCTTGCCCTATGTATCTCTTCCATCCAGCTGCTCCCGAGTTAGAGCCTTTTGAAGTAGGTAGTGGAGTAAAATGTTTCTCCGAGTTCTGTGCGCCGCTCTAGCAAATGAACAGAACCCAAGGGTGTTGTTGGAACCTCCGTCTTTAGCTGGTCAATGAAAAAGCACAGGTGGCGGGCAGCTTGGACCGGTCTTGCCAGAGGACTAAGCCCTTTCATCCGTGGGATCCGATGCTCTCTCCAGGGAACAGTGCTAGAACGGAATCAAACTGTAGAACACCCCGCTGGGGTCAGAGAGCGCCTTGGTCATGTTGGAAAACTCACACATCCCCACTGGGTGCAGAACTCCCACTATGCCTTTTTCCACAGCTTCGGTGGGGACTCTCAACAAAGGGTTTGTTACATATGCCCCGCCTAGGGCTGGCACCTGCCAGGTACCCCCTCACTCCTCCGGCTCAGGTTGGACAGACCCCAGGCTCCCACCTGGGCAGTCCACTGGCAGTTGCAACCTACAGCAACTCCCAGGGGCCAGCATTTCCCAATCTTCTGACTCACTAGTGCAAAACACAGCTTCCTGGCCCCACAGGAGCTCCTCCATCAAAATTGTGAAACCTCAATGGAAATGTAAAGATGGATGGAAATTATGGACATACTCCTGCTTCGCAAGGCCTATCTTTCAACTGAACAAGTTTCTCCATTCTTTAAGTCTCTCTCCCTCCCCTCTTGGCTTGTTTATCTGTAAAATCCTACGTTCCAGGAGCTCCGGAGCTCCATATTGAAGTTGAGACTTAGTAACAACACGCCGATGGCCAGCGCCAGCTTGAAGACATGGTGAACAAGGCTCAGACCCGATTCCTATCAAATGCGCCCAGATCCCGTGTTTTCCTCTAAGACCCTCACTCAGCCTTTTTACCCTGGGTGGGCTTTCAGTCTTGGGGGCACCCTGCCTCCTTGGCCTGGTGAAGTGATAAAAACTCTCTCCTTCTATATACCCAGACTGTCTTCAAGCTACACATTCTGGCTCTGGAGTTTTCAACTATTGGAGGTTCTGGAAATTTTCACTTCCCACAAATGCGTGAGCTGAGGCTTCTCCTGTACACTAAAGCCTATTCTGCTGTTTCTAGACAACCCCCTGCCCCTCCTTAACACCTAAGCAGAGTTCCAGATGAATCGGGGACCCTCCTCCTCCCCTTGGGGCGGCCTTGGGCTCCCCGTGGTGGCGTGGGTGGCCCCAGGGAGGTCCTTGACCGGCCCTCGCCTGCCCTGTGAAGTCAGCTTTGGCTGGACGCTGCGGGAATCTGGCAAGGCTGGAAAGTGAGGAAAAAAATGTCACACACAGACACGTTACACAATGGAGGATTTTATTTACATCACAGGGTAAGAAAAGGATACAAAAGAAGCCTCTTGGTCAAGTGCAGAAAGGCAAAGCTCTACAACCCAATTCTCAGTAAGGTGTGGACCCTGACATTAAACATACACACACACACACACACACACACACACAACCAACAACAACAACTGAAGACAGAGAAATAGGCAAAAAGCTAATCTGCAACATGGATGCCCTGTCCCAGGGGAATAAGCACTCAGGGAGTTTGGACAAGGTCATCTTCTGTACACAGGAATCTGGCTCCCAGGACAATCCCTGCGATATTCTGATGGATGATATTTCTAGGCTGATTATTCATCAGATAATTCAAATTTCAAGGGCCAAATGTGCTTGGCCTGAGAGTGTCTCCAATTTGGGGGTGGGATGGGGAAGGTCTTCATGGGACAGACCTCAGCAGCTCTGGGTCCTTCCAGAGTCACATTTCCACTGCCCTGAGGGGACTCAGTAGACTCCTCTGGGGCAGGTCAGCATCCCTGGGCCGCCACGGACAGACGCCCACCAGGCCCATCACAGGCCACAGAGGCCTGGCTCTCCCACTGAACTCTGCTTGGCTGTTTTTTCCACTTGGGTTTCTTTCCCCCGAGTCCCAGTGTGCCCAGGCAAGCCGTCATGATCTTCCGTGGGTGCAAACGTGCTCTCATCATCCACTTTTATCATCTGATGGAAACAAGACGGCTTGTTGTGCCTTTTCCTCACAAGTATGAATGATGCAGAATGGGACCCAAGTTCTTCCTCAACACGGCCTCCAGAACGTCTAGCTACAACACTCGCCTACACCGGTTCCTGTTTCTGTCCCTCTGTCTTCTCCACCCACCTTCTCCACATCCTGGTGCCACCTGGTTCATCTGGCTGGTGAGGCCTGAGCCCTGAGGCTGCCTCTGCCAAGGCCTGGGGACCTGCTCAGGGCAACACGCAGGTGTGGCCACGCCCCTACAGATGGGTCGGCAACAACCACTTGGCCTTCTGGGTCTTCTGTCAAGAGTCGCAGCAGTGGGCTTTGCGGGGGGTTGGCAGAGGGGCCTCCTCTTTCTTTTACCTCCCTGGCCAAGGGTCCAATGGCAGTCCTTGGGCCGTCCCAGGGGAGTACCCAGGACCCATGCGGTGCTGAGCTCTGAATCCAGGTGAGATGTGGACTAGCTGGCAGCACCAGAGAAAGGATGCTACAGAGGCAGCCAGTGAGAGCTTCGGGCTTCAGGGGGATTTTCAGCACCAGCCACGGCACCCCTAGCCACCCAGCATCCTTGGTCCCTCCCCGGAGCTGCAAGCCCAGCTCGCCTGAGGTTTCCCAGGGCTGAGGAACCAGACCTGGCTCCTGGACTCCCACTCCTCCCGTCCACCATCTTTCTTGTTTCTACTTCTGGCACACCTGTCTCCTACTTACTGGTTCCATTTTAAAATCACGTATTTTTCTTGCTAGGCGCAGTGTCTCCCTCTCTCCCAAGGGCACAGAGGGGCCAAGCGGCTGCAGGGAGTCAGGAGGTCCCCGACTGCCTGGACAGGCGAGCCGCTCAGAACTCGCAGCCGCACCGCCCCAGCCCGGGCGGTAGGGGTGCTCCCTCCAGCCGCCGCTCCAGCCCACCCAGCCTGCCTCTGAGCCCCCTCCTTCCCTCCCCTCCCGTGGAGGGGGGGGACACAAGTTTATCTGCTTTACACAGTCACACACATCATCGACAGTTTTCAACGCATCCCCACCCTCAAAGAGATTTTCCTTCCCTGCTTCTTCTTCTCAAGCCCATGATTATACTCCTGGTGACAAAGGGGTGGAGAGAGGAGATGGGGCGCGTGACAGACAAACAGCTCCCCGGCTGCCCCCAGAAGCGAGTCAGCCAAGGGCTGTGAGCACCATGTTAGCCTGTGGCCTTTCCAGAACATAACAAATCATCTCGATCCAGGTCAACAGCCCTTTGCCCCCTTGTCATCACCGCTCCGCTACCCACCCGGAGCGCCCCGTCTGCCCAGTGTCTGCTGCGGGCCCAGCCCCCCGCCGTGGCTGCCACCCCGGGAAGCCTCCGTTGTCTGCACACAGTGACCCCAAGCCTAAGGCGGGCCTGATTCTCTGCGGGACTGTCCGTCGGGAGCCGCCTGGGTCCTAAGTCCTGAAAAGCTCAGCGATGCACACGGATGTTCCATTCATAACATTCATCCAATGCAGCAGGAGAGACATTGATTTCCTCCAAGGGTTTTGTGGGTTCAGGTCAAGGGTGGTCCCAGAGCGGAGCTGCCATCCGCGCCAGTGCTCGGCCCCGCAGCTCCTGCTAGCGCACGAACGAGACCACGCTGGTGGCTACTCCGAACGGGGCAGAGTAGGCCGCGGCGAAGCCTTGCAGGCCGATGACCACGTAGCGGCATCCCTTGGTGACGACCTTCCCCACGTTCTGTTTTTCAGAAAGAGAAGAGAAAAGCCAAGGGGCGGGTTAGGCAGCTCTGTAGTCCCTCCCACGCAACGGTGACCCAGGAAAGGACCGTCAGGACAAACGGGCCACATCCCGTGTTTCCACATCCGCCCCCGCCCTTCTCCCCCCGCCAAGCACATGTGGGTGCTCAGCACAGATGTCATCCTCTGGCAAGGTATCTTCAAGCCCTGCACATTTCCAGATCACTCAGACATCTCGGGAACAGCACTGAGGATGCCAGATCCAAAACCAAACCCCTTTTGTTTTCGAACCAGGCTCCACGTCTAACACGGGGCTGGAACTCACAACCCTGAGATCCAGCGTCACAGGCTCTACTGACTGAGCCACCCAGGTGCCCCTGGTTTGTTGGTTTGTTTGTTTTATTTACTTACTTATTTATTTATTTTTAAAGATTTTACTTATTTGACAGAGACATCACAAGTGGGCAGAGAGGCAGAGAGAGGGGGGGGAAGCAGGCTCCCCGCTGAGCAGAGAGCTCGATGTGGGGCTCGATCCCAGGACCCCGAGATCATGACCTGAGCCGAAGGCAGAGGCTTTAACCCACTGAGCCACCCAGGCGCCCCTTTATTTATTTATTTTTAAAGATTTTATTTATTTATTTGTCAGAGACAGAGCACAGGAGAGTGAAAGAATGCACAAGCAAGGGGAGCGGCAGGCAGAGGGGGCTGGATCCCAGGACCCTGGGAACATGACCTGAGCTGAAGGCCGACGCTTAACTGACTGAGCCACTCAGGCGTCCCGCCCCGATTTTATTTTTGAACCAAAGCCTACTCTCTTCTCTGTTCCAGCCCAGTCACTGCATCATCGCCAGACGGGGTCCAGTGTCCCTGCCCTCACCTGTCTGAAAGCCCGCCCTGCCCTCCCTCCAGCTCCGGGGCAGACGCCTGCCCAGCCCTCGCACGGTCTCTAGCGTCTCCAGCTGTTCTCTCCCGCTGTACCCTGCAGTACGATTATACACTCCTCCAGGGTAAGGACTACGCTGCGCTTTCTTGCCACTCACTCCTTTTCTGCAAGGCCTGGTGTTGGACAGGCGACATCCCAGGGATTCAAATGGGATGGCCAACAGGAAGCAGAGACGCCCCCAATATTAATGGTGCTGTTGCCCACCGCACGCCCCCTCCTCTTCCCAAACTCAACTTTCGTCATCACCCTTCAATGCAGTCAAACATCCATGTGGATGACTTGGGCTCTATCACACACCTCGTCTCTCAGCCCCCTGACCTTTCCAACTCCCAATAAATACTTGAAATTCCTGGTTTTGCTTAAAATGCCTGATCACAGTCAAAAAGCTCAGAGCCAACGCTACCCAGCAAACCTCCTCTGTCCAGCAGGCTGACCTGCCCTCTCTCCGGGATGACGGGGCTCGTGCTCACTGCCGTACCCCCAGCGTCCAGAAAGGGCCCGGGTCTTTCCTGTGGAAACTCGCAGGCTCCATAAAGAGCCCGGGGGGAGAGCCAGGTGACATGGATGGCTTCTCTAGACAGTGACTCCTGGCACAGCGCCCATGGACTCCTCAGTGAGACACCAGGGTGCCCTCAGGGGGCGGCGTGAGGTTGCTGAGAGAGCCTGTTCTATAAACGCATAATGAGATTCAGCAGGAGAATTTTACTTTCCTCCCTGAAATAACAGTAACAGAAAGACTGTTCTCTGGGAGCAAGTGTCATGGGGATCGGGAATCAAGGGCGCCTGCACTGAACCGGACGTCTCTGGCCTCTGTGCATCCCCTTTCCTCAGTCAGGTATTCGCAAAAACTGCTCCTCACTTCACCTTCGCCATTTAGAAAGAAGCTGCTAAAATAGCTCATTAGCTGGAACGTTGTCAAAACACAGGTTCCAGAAAAGCGATACAAAGAAACGTAAAGTATCTATCAACGACCATTTCAGTGTCACTTGAGGGAGGTTTTGAATTATTGATGTGAGTCAAGTTTTCAAACCAAATCATCTCTTGGAGAAGCTGTGGGGTATGGGGGACCCAGGGGAGCATCGTAGGCTGAAGAATGCGCCCCCCCATCCCAAGATCCTGTAAATATATGGCTTTATGGGGTCAAAGGGATTCTGCAGATGTGATTAAGGGTCTTAAGATGGGGGAGATGGTGGGGCCAATCATTCTAAGGGCCCCTATATATTCATCAAGACCCAAAGGAGGACAACCGTCTTTCTAAGAGGGACACAAGTCACACAGAACGCAGTGTCATGACAGAAGCAGAGGCCGAGGTCCACGGACTTACACTGCTGGCCTGGATGCAGGAGGATGGGACCTCTGGAAGCTGGAAAGAGCTCCGAAACTGGTTTTTCCCTGATGCCTGCATGGGAACCGGCCTGGGGACTTCAGCACAGTGACCCTGATTTTGGACTTCTGGCCTCCAGACCTGTACAGCTGGTATGGGTCCTAAACCAGCACGTTGGTGGTGATCTATTACAACTGTCCTAGGATGTCATGCTTTCTGGGGCTTCTCCGTATTCAACCAACCCCTGGTTAAGTCAGGAACTCCCCACCCCCTTCCAGTTTCCAACAAAACAAACAAACAAAACAAAACACACCGAGACAAACAGAAACTAAAACCCAGCTGTCAACAAAGATCACTTTTCCCTCAATATGAAGATCAAGTCTCCAGTCTAAAATGCGGTCAGGACCCGGTACAAAGCTGAGCTGGGTGATCGGCTACAGACGGCAGTTTTTTCTGAGTTACTGAGTTCTGATTCCAAAGGAACCAGAAAGTCAACAGTCCTATGGGGTCTCTCCTTCACCCCGCCTACCTCCCGCCCTAAGACAGCAGCCAACCATCACAGAAGCCTTGCCGCCTGCCAGGTTTTAAAACCCTCGTTTTACCCCACGTCACAGAGAAGGAAACTGAAGCCAAGCGGTGGGCCCAGCCCTGAGGTCACCAAACCAACAGGGGGCAGCTCCGGTGCCCCTGTCCTTACCAGATGCCCCTAGAGCATGACGACAATTTTTCTCCGCCTTGAGATAAAGGCTCCTCCACATATTGTATTTCCCCCTCCCATCCTCCCCTAGCTGCCTAATGGACAAAACGTACCTACTGTCCTCATCCAAATGTCTCCCGCGGCTCTCAGGGGTGCCTGGGAAAGGTGGCCTCTCACCTTAAGCTAAGTTTTGGGGTTCAGTCCCCCTCAACCCAACTGCCAGGTGAGACTCCTGCCTCCCAGCTTGGCTGGCTACTCTCCAGCTGTGCAGCCCCGAAGAGCACAACTTCCTTAAACTTGTTTCTATTGCTGCAAAATGGGGGGGTCCCCCCCACTTTACAAGGTTCTGGGGATAATTGAGGGGTGTCACTCAGGAAATGGGCAGCAGAGCTGCTGGCATGCTGTGGCAGAACAGCCAACATCGGTCCCTCCCCCTTCCCTGTCCCCAGAACACAGCCCGTGAACCATTAAAGCGCCAAGTGAACACTCACATCCTTACAAAGCACCGGGCAGGAGTCCCCGCACACCCGCCCTCAGCCCGAGCCTCTGAGAGGTGGGACCAGGTGGGCCCTGGGGACCACAGGGCAGCAGGAGAGGAGAAATCCTTTTGCATTTCACAAATGCCTATTTTTTTTATTTTTAATTTTTTTTTAAGATTATTTATTTATTTATTGACAGAGATCACAAGTAGGCAGAGAGGCAGGCAGAGAGAGAGGAGGAGGCAGGCTCCCCTGCTGAGCAGAGAGCCCAACGCGAGGCTCGATCCCAGGACCCTGGGATCATGACCTGAGCCGGAGGCAGAGGCCTTAACCCACTGAGCCTCCCGGGCGCCCCCACAAATGCCTCTTTAAACAGAAGCAGGAAGGGACTTGGGTGCAGGGCTTGACCAGTGAACGGATGACTAGGAACGGCCACGCCCCCTTCCTTGAAGGAAAAGCGTCCATTAACAATGAGGAGCCTTCACAAGTCCCTCCTTATTCCACCCGGGCAGGGAAAGGGAAAGATTCACGTGGGTAGCTCAAGCCTGGAGACTCAACTCTCCACACCTCCAGTGGGGAACTGGCTGTCGCCATGGATTTTCGGCACAGCGGGGTGGACTCTTTTCTTCTCCCACGGTGGAACCTAACTGGTTACCTTCCCAGATGCCTCCAAGAAAGTGGGAAGTTGGAAGGCAGAGAGGGCGTGTCCAACTCTAATGGGACAGTGTCCTCTCCTCCGGCTTCCGGGGTCTACCGACCGAGGGTAAGACGGAACAGCTTCCGGCGGCGCACATCTCTGCCTGGGCTGTTCCCTCCGCCTTGGATGCCACCCCTTCTCTGTCGGCTCAATTTTACCGTTTTTATTTTTTTTAACTGTGGTGAAATTCACAAAACAAAAATTAACCATTTTAAGGTGAAATATTTGGTGGCATCTGGTGCACGGACAGTGCCGTGTGACTAGCACCTCAACCTACTTCCAATATATCTTTACCATCCCCAAAAGGAAGAGCTGCACCTGTTTTAATACTTTGCCACCCCCTATTTTTCCGTCTCCCCAGTCCCTGGAAACCACCCATCTGCTTCCCTCTCTCTGCATTTACCTATTTTGGACATTCTATAGGAACAGAACCATCCATGCGCACGGCACGTGACCCCGTGTGTCTGGCTTTTTTCACTTAGCACACTGTTTCCGAGGTTCATCTGAGAGGGAAATTAAAGGGACCCCAAGACAAACTGCTTTGTTCATTCTTTTTTCTGCTCTTTTTTTTGCCAGGACCTACAGCCGGTGCCCTACACACACCTCATAGAATAGATAATGTTTGTTCTCCTTGTAAAGGTCAAGGTTTTAACAATTGCTTAAGAGTCTGCCGGCACAACAGGTAACATCCAAGGAGTGACCAGGCAGGGTGGTTCCAAGACCAGTGACTCATCAAGATCCCTGGCTCCAGGGCCAAGTGACTTCTGAAGGTCAGACACCTCAACTCTCATCTTTGTTCCTATATGCCTAAGACGACACTTGCACCAGCCCGTCATCCTCAGTAAAAACGCTAAGTCCCAGTGAAAACCCCATGCCCAGACCAGACTCCCTTTTCTTTCCAATCCAACACGCTCTGTATCTCTATTCTCTCTGTCTTCAATGAACTCTGCTCTCACTTCCTCTAGGCTCGAGTTTTGAGTGCCATCTTGCACGGAGCCAAGGACCCTCCTTGGACCCAGCCAACCTCCATCACATCCATGCTGTGGAACGTTAATGGGACTTCATTCCTTTTTATGACTGAGTAATATTCCACAATGTGTATACACCACATTTTATCATTTATCAGCTGATAGACACAGGAGTTGTTGTCACCTTTTGGCTATTTTAAATAATGCTGCTATGAACATGTGAATATGTTCTCTATGTTCTCTCCCTCAAATACATGTATGTATATTTTAGTACTTATTTTCAGTTATTTTGGGTATATAACTAGGAGCTGAACTGCTAAATCAAACAGTAGTTCTATGCTTAATTTTTGGAGGAAACTCCAACCTGTTTACCACAGGAACTGCACCATTTTACATTTCCATTAGCAATCTGCAGAATTCCAATTTCTCCACATCCTTGCCAACATTTGCTATTTTTTGTTTCTGGGGTTTTTTTTGTTTGTTTGTTTTTATTTTTTTAAGTAACAGCCATCCTGGTTAAGTGTGAAATAGTACCTCATCATTAACCTCTGAAACCTCAATCTTCTCTGCCTAGTTCTTATGTCACCTGACTTCAACACCCTCATCCCGAGGACTCTGTACCATGTGGCAACGTGGTGGGGCCCGGACTCTGCCGGGGTCTCCCCAGGAGGTGTGCACTTCACTAGGGCAGGACTGCACTGTATCTGTTTCGTTATCTCTGGTGGTTAGCATGATCCCTGCACGAAATGAGCACCTAAAAAGCATCTCCACGTGCCAGCCCCTGACCTGAGATGTCCCCAGATACCAGGTTCGCCAGCTGGGAGGCCAGCGGCGGTTTCTTGATGCTGAACTGAGACCAGATGGGTCAGTTCTAGCAGAACCCAGCCTGAGAGTCCCTATCTCACTGCCTGCCAGTATACTGTGCCAAACCTGCTGACTGGCTTTTACAGGGGATGATACACCCAAGTTTCTAGGAGCAGAAACTAGATGGTTTTAGACAGGTTAAGAGGCACAGACAATGAGACTGTGAATCAGATGGGGCCTTTGGCCAGAACACAGTGAGTTTTATGATCTTCTTCTGGGTGGCCTTGCCCAGGCCCAGGAGGTGGGGGCAGAAGTAGCTTCAAGTGATTCGCCTAGGCACTGCCTTGGGCTTCGATCTCTGAGAAGGGCACTGTCATTTTATCCCATCTTCATATTCTCTCTCTCTCTCTCTACCCCCTCCTGTCTCCCCTCCTTCCTCTGCCCCCCAGCCCCCAAGGCAAAAGGCAGTGGTATGTTTGCAGGTCCCATAGTATAAGGGTGGCCAGCTGGGGGAAGAGAAAAGTAGATTCAACATGTGCCTATTTATGTACTGTCCCGCTCCCAGGCCCTGGAAATAACCTCTGGAACTTAAGGAGAAAAACCCAAACAATTCTCAGCTGGTGGGATATCCTGGAGAGGATGTTGCCAGAGAACAGATGAACCGGCCTGCAACTCCCTACTTTCCAACTGGGTCACCCTCTACAAGTCACCTCACCACGCTAATGCCTCAGTATTCCCATCTGTAAAATAGGGACACGGATTTCTGTCCTGTCGGCTGTACAAGGGGGGTGTAAGGCACACCGGGATCAGAACACGGGGATGCTGGGACGTGTTGGGAACGTTACCAGGCGCAGCCCCGCAGCCCCGGGGGTTAGGGGTTGGATTGGCCCGCCCCCCTCCACACACACCCCAGCTCCGGTTTGGGTTCTGTCGTTACTTGCGATCGAGTTTTCCTTCACCTCCCAGTGGACAGAACCCTCGTCCGTGTCTGTTAACGACAGCTGGAAAGGGGACGCAAGGGCAGCTCAGAGAAGCTGAGCGCGGCCGGGCGGTGGAGACCCGACGCCCACCCTCCGGGCGATCGATCAGGGAGCCGGGGATCGGGCCGCCCGCACCCCGAGCCCGCGGGCGGGGGCGGGCGTGGGGCCCTACCTTGCCGTACTTCTTCAGCTTCTGCCGGTACCTCCTCCTGGGCTTCTCGGCCGGCGCCGGCTCCTCCAGCGGCTCGTAGCGCTCGGGGAGCACGGCCAGGTGCACCTTGCGCGCGCTCCGGGCCCCCGGGCGCCCCGCGCTCGCCGCGCTGGCCGCCTCGTCCCCGCGCTCTGGCTGCTCCAGGAGGGCGGCCGTCTCCTCGTCCCCGTCCGCCCGCGCTCGGCCCCGGGGCCCGCGGCGCAGGAAACCACTCGCCGCCTTGCTTCGCAGCCTGGCGCCCACCGTCATGATGCTGCGGCCCCTCCGGCTACCGCTCGAGAGAAGACGCCAACCTCGGCGCCCCGCCTGCGCCTGCGCCCCCGCCCCCGCCGCCGGCCGCCCGCCCCAGCCCGGACGGGGCGTGGGTAGAGTTGGGGGGTGGGGGCTCGGGCGGCAGCGCCCCCTGGCCGCGGGACCCGGCATCGCGCGCCCAGCCGCACCTGCCCCGGGCCTACCTGGCGGCCGCGGCGGGGCGCACCCGGAAAGCTGGGGGCGCAGTGAACACACGAGACACGTTCAGCCACACCTGCGACGAAATAAATGAACCGCAAACAACGAGGCGTTCCTGGCCACGCTCAGATCGGCAGAGGCGACGGGGACAGTAAAGATTATACCCCGCGCCCTGTGGCTGGGTGAGACGGTGGTGATAATGCGCTGTTACGGGATGCGCACCAGTGACCAACTTTGGGGAAAGCGATGAACACCGCTGAGAATGGGCCATAACTTTCTAGACACCTGTCCTAAACACAGCGTCAGAGACACAGCCCAGGAGCGCTCGGGTGGCCCCGCCGGCTGCGGGAGGAACTCCAGGTTTTGGCTGAGGTCACGCTCTCGGGGTCCTGGGATCCAGCCGCACGTCAGCGCTCGGCGCGGAGTCGCTTGTTCCTCTGCCTGGGCTCCTCCCCCTGCTCCTCCCTCTAGAGGCTTGCCCGCGCTCTCTTTCGCTAGAAAAATAAGTAAATAAAATCTTAAAGAGCAAGAAACGCAAACCTTACTTAGCCCCTAGTGTTAATATCAGTTTCACTCACAGGGAGAAAGTGGGGCAAACCAGCCGGGTTGCGCGAGCTAAGTTCGGGTCCAAGCACAGAGTATGTGATGTGATCGTCACACTTGGGCTTTCAGCAATAGCGCTGGTAGATATGCATCTCTGGGTTCATGGTGAATCTTAACCTTCTAGCGAATGCCTTATTGTATCAGGCAGGTAAGTCTCTCTCTCTTTTTTAAATAGGTTCCCTGCACAGCGTGGAGCCCAAGGCAGGCATTGAACTCTCCACCCTGAAATCAAAATATGAGCTGAGATCAAGAATCCCAGGCTTAACCCACTAAGCCACCCAGGAGTTCCCAAATCAGTAAATATCTTTTTTATTCTTGGAAGCTAAGAGTTAAGAGTAAAATAATATGGGTTATTAATTTCATTAATATTTTAATACTATTAAAGTACATGATACATTTAAGGATGATTTGGATGTATTGCTCTAAGTACATAAAATATTTACAGTTTGGCTTATTAAAATATACAAATATTAGTTTTATGATTCCAACTTGAAGTGTATAATCAAGTAATTGATTTACAGTTATGTTTAAATTGAAAGTAATATAAAAAATAAACCTAATTTACTATATTTGTAAGAATTACATAGCCTTGTACATAGTTGAAATACCGGAAAAGAAAATTAAATATATTAAATTTGTAAAAGTCATTTAAAATGTTTAAGATAATTTAAGGAAGTGAATGGTGAAACTTCCCCTTATAGTAATAGTTAAATTTTATTAGATTTGTAACTAAAAGTAATTAGGTTTGTAAATAAAGTAAAACAAAGTCTAAGAGAAACTAGATTTGTGGATTTGTAACTACGGTAACTACAGTAAATATCTATACATCTATATCTATATATGAAAGAGGTCTTAACAGTCCTTTTTTTCTTTTTTTAATTTTATTTATTTACTTGAGACAGAGAGAGAGATCACAAGTAGGCATAGAGGCAGGCAGAGAGAGGGAGGGGGAAGCAGGCTCCCCGCTGAGCAGAGAGCCCTATTCAGGGGCTCCATCCCAGGACCCTGAGCTCATGACTTGAGCCGAAGGCAGAGGCTCTAACCCACTGAGCCACCCAGGCGCCCCAGCATACAACTCTTGATCTTGGGGTGGTGAGTTCTAGCCCCACATTGGGTATTTAGAGATTACTTAAAAAAAAAAAAGCAACCCTGACTTCAGAAAGTACCCCCCTCCCCCGTAGACTGCGTATCAAATAGAAACAAAGGTAAAATGTGCAGGGGACCAAAAATCTGGTTTTTGTCCATCCAAAATACTATTCAAATATCACAACAACATTTTTTTCTTCAAATTTTTATTTAAATTCTAGTTAGTTAACATACAGGGCAATATTAGTTTCAGGAGGAGAATTCAGTGGTTCATGACATATGTAACACCCAGTGCTCAACACAGCAAGTGCCCTCCTTAACCGCCATCGGGCATCTAGCCCATCCCCACCTAGCCCATTCCCACCCACATCCCTCCATCAACCCTCAGATGGTTCTCTATCATCAAGCTTCTCTTGTGGTTTGGGGGCTCCTGGGTGGCTCAGTCAGTTAAGCAGCTGACTTTTGATTTCGGCTCAGGTCATGGTCTCGGGGGCCCGGGATTGAGCCCCATGTCGGACTCCCTGCTTAGTGGGGAGTCTGCTTCCCTCTCTCCCTCTGCCTACCTCCTGCTCGTGCTCTTTCTCTCTCTCTCTCTCTCTCTCTCTCTCAAATAAATAAAATCTTAAAAAAAAAAAAAAGTTACTCAGTGTGAAAAGTGCTTCCCTTGCTCCTGGGTGAAAACTTAGGCAGCCTTATAATTTTTTAATCACACAGAGGTAACAAAAAGTTCCAAAGTTGCAAACATGGTCTTGATTTGTATAATTCTATTCATTTATTAAGCGAGGTCCTTGCCCTGCATGGGGCTTGAACTCATGACCCTGTGATCAAGAATTGCATGCTTCACAGACTGAGCCAGCCAGGTGCCCCTTGATTTATATGATTTCAAATCTTACAGTGCTCAATTCCATGTAATACTCAGAGCCTTGAACTTGATTTTTAAGATTTTATCCATGTATTTAGAGAGAGGGAGGGCCAGAGGGAGGGGGAGAGAGAGAGAGACCTCAAGCAGGCTCCCCACTGAGCACAGAGCTCCATCTCAGGACTCTGAGAGCAGGACCCTAGCCAAAATCAAAAATGAGATGCTTAGCCTACTGAGCCACCCAGGCGCCCCAGCAACACCGTATCCCTTCTGTTTCCTCCGCCTGATGTTTCTGAGCACCCCAGACTTGCAGACTACTTCCTGACCCTTCCTAGGCCAAAACAGAGAAGAGAGCAGAATAATTCCTTCCCGGGTACTGCCCGAGGTGTTGTCTCTGACCTCTGGACCCAGCAGGTATTTGAAGCTCCTCCTTGGGTTCTTCGGGAGCCCCTGCTGGGAACATTCAATTCTACTTGTCATGGCCCAGCGAATGCCCTTTCGTCCCCCACTGCCTACTCCCTCCTCAGCACCCCAGAGTCCTGCGGTTTATCTCTGCCTTTTTTATCCTGTGCCTATGCGCCCTTCTGGCTGGCCACATGGGACAGGATTGAGTGTAGGGAATTCAGCGCTTCCAAATGCCCAGAAGGCCACCTCCAGTGTTAAGTACAAGAACAACAGAGCTGCCACTGTTGCACAGCAAGAAGCTGCGGCCCCAGGAGGGCACCCCAGCCCCCACGGTCAGCCCCAGGTCCCACCATGCCTGCCTGCCTGGTTTGTGCCAACAGAGCCTGGGCACCCTACGCTGCCCCCCAGCCACCAGCCCCCATCTCTTCACCAGACACCAGTATCTGGCCCAGAAAAATCTGACACCTGCAGAACTGTTCTTACTCTCAGAACAGCAAAAAGAGCGGAAACAGCTTTCACCCCACCCCACCCCCCACTGCCTTCCAAAGCTTCCCAGCGTGCCCCTGATTAGAACTTGCCAAATTCTCTTTCATACTCCAAGCCCCCTGGACAATGTTCTCGTCTCCTGGCCTCTGCACAGGAAAGGGGGTGGAAAGGATTCTGAGTGCCAATCCATGGACATCTTTCCTTACTGATATAATTAGGAAACTGCCCTCTGGAGAAGCAAGAACACTGGAGAGTTAAGGTTCATGAAAATACATCATCAGTTATTGAGTTAAAAAAAAAATGCTTGAAGACCTTACAGTCTTAAAGAGCTTGGTTCTTGTCTCCTTGCCCCCCACGAGTCGCCGTTCTATGCCAGGCGAGCACACGCTCAGCTCAGCGACTGCTCCAGGAAGGGAAGGTTCAGTGGCTGCCCGCCTGTGAGAGGCTTGCCCTCTCCGGAATGCCAATCATCAAGGCTTCATGGCACCTGCCACTCCCGATGCCACCAGAGAAGGATTTTTATTTGTGTGTGCACAGATTTATCTTGTATGATCACCAGACCGAGAGTCTACTGACTCATTCTACAAGAGGAGCAGAGTCAGAATTCTCCTTGCAGATAAAGCTTTAAAGCGGCATATATAATGTGTGAAATAATTCTTCGCCGCTCTAATAGAATCACATCCAACTTGGTTGTTTTTCTCCGAAAGCCACTGAAGATTTGGAGGACTACTGAGCTATTTGCACTTTACGATACTGATACTAGAAAAATGTATGCATACTGTATATTAACTGGAATTAAAATTAAAAGAAAAAAAGAAAAATGTGTGTGTAGAGAAATAAGGTCAGAATTATGACCTTATGAGTTAAAAGAATATTTCTTTTTAAGAGGATTTTATTTATTTACTTATGAGAGAGAATGAGCGGTGGGAGGAGCAGAGGGAGAGGGAGACAAGCAGGCTCCCCGCTGGGCACAGAGCCCAGCACAAAGCTCCATCCCACCACCCTGAGGTCCTGATCTGAGCAGAAATCAAGACATGGACGTTTAACCCAATGAGCTACCCAGTGCATGTATTTTTCCTAGAGGCAGATTAAGATATCTAAATAACTGATACTGGGGGTCCCTGGGTGGCTTAGTAGGTTAAAGCCTCTGCCTTCAGCTCAGGTCCTGGGATCGAGCCCCGAGTCGGGCTCTCTGCTCAGCAGAGAGCCTGCTTCCCCCTCCCTCTCTGCCTACTTGTGATCTCTGTCTGTAAAACAAAAAAAATAATAATAATAAATAACTGATACTGTATTTAGAAAACAGCAACATGGAAAACCATATTGGCTTATATACGTTGTAAAACTAAATCATTATTTAGGGCTGTGGTTTGCTAGGACAATGCTTCGCATACATGATGTGTTGATTAGAAGGGAATGCGATCCTATATGACTGAGAGAAGAAAGG